CTGGTCTACATAGTGAGTTCCAGGACAGCTGGGGCTACAGGGAGACCCTGCTTCAAAAAGACAAAAAATAAATAAATAATAAATAAATAAGATATTAAAAAAAGTAATGAAGTTGGGCATGGTGGCATATGCCTTTAATCCCAGCATTTAGGAGCCAGAGACAGATGGATCTTTGTGGGTTCAAGGCCAGCCTGATCTACATAGTGAGTTCCAGGCCACTGGGGGTACAAGGAAACCCTGTCTCAAAAACAAAAATAATAATGAAATGAAATACTAAAAATGTTTATCTGGGGGTTGGTAGGATGGTTCAGTGAGTGAAGGCACTTGCCTAATGCTGACAATTTGAGTTCAATCCCTGGGACCCACTTGGTGGAAGGAGAAAACCAAGTCTGGCAAGTTGTCCTCACAAATTCATTTTATTGATTATGTGTTCTTGATTTAGAAATCTGTCCCATTTGGGGACTTTTATGAAGCATTTTCTCAGTATTGTTATGAACATAAGGCAAGGAGCTTAATCATACGGTTCTGTAATAATAGCCAATGTTTTCTTGCTAGTGCTTAGCTCGTGCCAGTGAATTCGTTCAACGATTTCCCACCATAGTCATCAAGGTAGATATTATTAATATTAGGAGAAATGATAGGTCTGGAAAGAACTTTGCTCCGAGTACATAGGTAATTTTGCAACAGAGTCTAAATTGAACTCTGGATTCTGGTTCCATACCACAGCTCCCTCTCTAAACATGGAAATATAGCTCCTATCAGGTTTTGGAAAAGCAGTTTAAAAAGACAGAAATATGTGGGCATGGTGGCGAATGCCTTTAATCCCCGCACCGGAGAGGCAGAGACAGGCGAATCTCTGTGAGTTGGAGGCCAGTATGGGCTACATAGTGAGTTCCAGCTGGGGCTACCGAGAGACCTTGTCTCAAAAAGACACATATATATATGTCATATATATATGGCACACTTTTAGGAAAATTCATTTGCTTTGAGGTGTGTGTGTATGTCTGTGTGGAGGCCAGAGACTGATGTCAGGTGTCTTCTATCACTCTCCACCTCACTTTTTAAGTCAGGGTAACTCACCAAACCTGGAACTCTCTGGTTGCCTAGACCAGCTGGCTAGAGAAGCCCCAGGGATTTTCCTGTCTCTGCTTCCAGTGCTGGGATTGCAGTCTTTTACGTAAAAAATGCTGGGGATCTGCTGATAGCCTCTTCTGACCTCCGAGGGCATTGCACAACACGGGTGCACTTACCTACATGCAGGCAATACACGCATACACATAAAATAAAAATAGTAAATAAAAAAAAATGCTGGGGATCTGAACTCAGTCCTTAGGGTGCAGCAAGCACTTTACCCCACTGAGCCATTTCCCAAACCCTGGTTTTGAGATTTTTATTTTAATTTTTCAGCAATTTTAAAAATATTTTATTTATTTTTATTTTATGTGCATGAGTGTATTGCCTGCATGTATATGTGAGTGCACCCGTGTCTTGCAATGCTGCGGAGGTCAAAAGAGGGCTTCAGATTTCCCTGGAACTGGAGTTAAGGACAGTTCTTAGCTGCCATGTGGATGCTGGGAATCGAACCTGGGTCCTCTACAAGAGCAGTCAGTGCTCTTTACCACTAAGCCATCATCTCTCCAGCCCTGGCTTTGAGATTTTTAAAGGAAAATTGATCCAGCTTGGTAAAAGCTTGCAGAATCAGGCCAATGTGGCAGTGATTAGCTGTTTGTTACACCAACATGTTGCTTCCTGCTGTCCTTGGTGTTAAAGTTTCCACTTGTTATAGATTAGGAAACGCACAGGACACTTTCTTTTGTGCTATAACATTCACGCTTACTTATCAGTATCTTTAATGCCCACTATGTAGTTATAAGCAGTGTCTGTTTTCTGCCCTGGTCCTCCTTTGGGAACAAGACTGGGCTTGGAAACAGTTAAAGACAGTGAAGACACATCCTACCACTGACTCTAGAAATTGCTTTTTGTATTACTACAATTTGTATTTTGACAGTGATGAAATCCATCGTCAATGATTTTCATGAAGAGCAAAGTTTAATTTTATTTAAAAAGTCTGAATCATAAGGCATAATCTGTAGCTTTGTTTTAAATCATAAAGGTTAAATATGTAAAGAGACTATGCTATTAACATAACACTGGGCAAATAATTATGTATATATAATGTTAAACATATAGTATCCTATAACGTAGGTTCATGTGTGTAATCTCAGCACAGAGGCACCAACATGTTGCTTCCTGCTGTCCTTGGTGTTAGGATTGCTGTAAATTCAAGGTCAACCTGGTCCACAAAGTGAGTTCCAGGCCAGTCAAGTCTGTACTCAGACCCTGAATCAAGAACTCAAAACAAACACAGAGAAAAAGAATGAAAAAAAAAATCACCTAAGTGAATGGAGTTGTGTCCTTATAATTAAAGGGAGTGTGAATAGCTACAACTGAAATCAAACCATGCTATTTAATCACACATCATTTTATAAAATATGAAAAATCAGTAATGGTTCACATAATGAATGCTATCCTGTATGGATTAGTGGTAGGAAATGTTATTTAAGATGGTAGCATTTGGAATCTGAAGGGATCAATATGTGTATCAAGTTCTGGAATTTTCTGGATTTTTGTGTTAGGAAGTTTATTGTTTTTTTTGGGAGGGTGTTCTTTTTTGAGACAGGGTCTCCCTGTAGCCCCAGCTGGCCTGGATCTCACTATGTAGACCAGACTGGTCTTGAACTCACAGAGATCTCCCTGCTTCTGCCTCCTGAGTCCTGGGATTAAAGGCATGTGCCACCATACCTGGCAGGAAATTTCTTTAAAACAATATGCCTTTAAGTAACACATCAAAAAATTTCTCTACCCTGTCACATTATTCTTACTCAGTGAAATAGGATACAAGGGTATCACTGGCCAAATATTGGATTAAATGTCAAGTAAACGGTTATTGTACTCAGAGGAACTGGAAAATCCAAATGCTTATGGTATGATGCAGGTTTAGACCTTATGGTTGGTTGACCGGCAGAAATTGGAATTGAGAGGAAATTTAAAATAAAATCGGTCGTTTTTGTTATTTTGTACTTTTTTATTATATTGGGGAGGTTTTAGATTTTTCATTTTCTCTAGGCACTTGGGATATATCAGTTGAACAGTCAATCCCAGCTTCAAAGTGCTCAATAGTAGAGCACTTACCTAACATGCAAGAGCCCCTGGGTTCTACCCACAGTACTGTGAAAGTCAAAACTAGCCGAACTCTCAGCTGCTTGTACTGAGGAAGTCACTCAAAATGAAAAAATATGGAGTCAATTGTAAAGATTATTGCCCATCAGGTGATTCAGGAAGAAAAGAACAGCAAGTTAGGAAGGGTTGAGGGTTAGGGTGGGCTGTGGCAATTTAAGGTAGTGGGTTTCAGCTAAGTATTATTGTTAAGGTAAGAGTCAAGCAGAGTTAAAACTGGAGGACAGACATTAAAGGAAGAATATTCCAGACCCCCGAGTGGTTTGTGGAGTCTGAAATAGTCAAGCATCAGCGGGTGGTAGGAGATGTGTTCTGAGACCTAGCAGGAGAAATCCCAGGGAGGACTTTGTCAGCCATTGTAAAGATCTTCCATGGTGAATGGAACACTGGTGGATTTTGATCTGATGAGACATGAGCTGACTCTCCTTGAGGGAGGATATTTTTGCTGTTGTTTTGACAGCAACCCGGGTTGGTGTTGGCCAAGGAATCCATTTAGAGGACCACTGAAGGATGACGGAGGCTAGGGATGACAGAAACGATGTGGGTGAAAAGCAGTCTGATTCCTGTTTATTTTGAAGGCAGAACCAAAGCCAATCATCTTTCTTGACTTAATGGAAGTAGGAAGGAGGATGTGAGGAGCCAGCTGTGGACTGAACGACTAGAAAGATGCTTTTATCCATGGAGATGGGGAGCTAGCTCCATGTTGGAGTATGTACCACTGGATTTCAGAAGACATACATGTGAATGCTTCTGGGATATAAAGGATAGGAACAGCTGAAGCGCTCATAGGAGCAGGGTGTGGTGGTCATGCTCACTGCCAGGACTCAGGAGGCCGAGGCAGGAGGATTGCTGTGAGTTTCAGGCCAGCCAGGGTTATATAGCTTGTCCCAAAAGACCTTAGTGGCTTGGGCCTGTAACCCCAGCACTTGGGGGGGTTGGGGGTTAAGGCAGAAGGATCAGGAGTCCGTGGCCAGCCTTAGCCACATAGTGAGTCTGAGGCCACCCAGGCTACAACTTGTCTCAAACAAAACCACTCCCAAAACAGCCCCACAAGAAGTCATGGGGATCCACTGCACAATGTCACACATTTCAGCTGTCAGGTGTTATATGCTCTCCGTCCATGAGTGAGTGATTCTGACTCCTTGAAGGAGTTAGGTGGCAAATAGTTCTCAACTACTACCAGCTAGAGACGCCCGGTCCCCTGGACGGCTCAGCCGGGGCGCGCTGGCAGCCGGATCCGAGTGGGAAGGGGCCCTGGCGTGAGGCCCAGGTCTCCATTTTCCAGGCTGCGTCTTAAGCCAAGGCTCTCCGCCCGCCTGGAGTCGCAGGGGGTCTGGCGCCCGCCCAGAGGGTGGGGCCTCTCCGCGGAGGCGGGGTCACGCCGCCGTGTAGCCGGCAGGCGCTCTGCCAGGAGGCGAGGGGCGGGGCATGGATGGGCGGGGCCAAGCCTCTGCAGCTGGCGGGCCCTTTGCTGGATGGGAGGGGGCGGGGCCTGTCCGGGGGCGGGACCGCGCAGCCGCACACGCCGCGGGCCCGCCCTTCTCACCGGGGCCGGCACCGCCTCTAGCCCCGCCCATGCGCGCGCGAGCCGGGGGCGGGAGGGCGGAGCCAGGAAGCGGCGGGGGCGCGGGTGGCACAGCTGCGGGCGTGTGGAGACAGGGGCCGCGGAGCCGGCGCGGACAGCGGCGCGGCCAGAGCCCGGCCGAGACAAAGACGGCGGGTGAGTGCGGCGCGGCTGCCCCACGACCGGGCGAGAGGCCCGGGCTATCGCCCCGAGGCTCTGGGACGCCGCCGGGCCGGGCCTGGCGCTGCAACTCCGTCCCAGGTCGGGGCGAGGTCCTCCCGGGCAGCGGGCTCTACCACGGTTCGCCTCACGGAAGCGCGGCCCCTCCCCCAGCCCGCCGCGGCCGGGCTCCCGCTGGCCCCGGGTCCGGGGGGCCTCGGGCTGCCGAGCTCCGAGTCCGCGCTGAGTCTTCCCCAGCCGGCCCGCGACCCCGGAGCCGCCGCGGCTCTGGCGACTCTTACAGGTTGTTGCACTCGCCACCTCGGTCGGCGGGCGTGGAGGGCAGCGGCGCCGACGTCGGGGAGACGCCGCCCGGGCCGACTCGGAGCCGCGGCCGCGGGCTGCGGATGCTGAGCTCCGGGAGAGGAGTTTGGCGACGGGAGTGGAGCTCGGGTGGTCTCGTCCCCACCGCGGCCCGGAACGTTTGTCACTGCCTGGGTATAGTACCTGCTCGGTAAAACGCCGGTGCCAGGAATGACTCCACGTCGGGCAAAGCTAATCTGTATCTAATAAGACTAGGCACGCATCCTGTTGTCTCAGGTGAAGGAGGAGAGAATCAGAAAAGAGCGCTTGGTTCTGTTCGTATTCCTGGTTGTTTTTTTTTTTTTTTTTCTCCCCCTCATACACCTTTTTATTTATTTGAGACAGGGTCTTACTGTCTAGCCCTGGCTGGCCTGGAACTTACTATGTAGAGCAGGCTGGCCTTGAACCCGCCTGCCTCTGTCCCCCGAGGCCTAGGATTAAGTCGTGCGCCACCCCGCGGGGCTCATAGAGGACGTTGATTGGGGTTTGGTTGTTAACCACCAGCGTTGCAGACAATCTGCTTTTTCATTTTGGAAAAGTTGGTGTACAGTTTTTTATTTAACGTCTTATTTGTCATTGAAAATAACAGAAGATAAAGAGGTGTCTGGATTGTATTTTGAGGCGTCGCTTTCTATTTCTTTATGAATAAAGATGTTTATGTGCCTTTGAGCTACTGCAGCCAGATCTTAAGGTTCTGTTTGCGCCAGGGATTGCGCTGAACTTTGGGGAGGGAACCTAATGCAACCCTAATCTAGTTAAGCATCACTGTTCACTAACATACTCATTAAACACCGATTAGGCTCAGAGACCTGTGTTAGATGCTGTTTCTGGAGGTGGACAGAGCCCACAGTGATCTTTTTCCTAAGTTTGAGCATGAACTTTGTTCCTTAATGTCCTTATCAAGTGAACACTGCCTTAAACCCCTAGTGCCCTGTTCATTTGGTAAAGATGGCTGGTGAACTTAAGGCAGTGTTCATTCATAGTCCATTTAAAAGTTAATACGTAACTTTTTAGGGGTACGATCATTGGGTCATACTTTCGTTTTTCTCAGCTTAATAAAACATGCATTTTTAAATGAAGAGAAAGGACCGACAAGCAGTATTCGTATTCTCTCAGATTTGGGTGCCGTGTTTTTATTGGTAAGTTCTGGATTACTGACTGGGTCTGTTTCCAGTGATAATCTTTAATAGCTTATTTTCTAAAAGTCTCCACTCAGTGGCTAAGAGGGCTTGCTGTTCTTTCAGAGGATCTGGGTTCAGTTCCCAGCACCCGCTTGGGGAGTGGGTGGGGTGCACCACCATGCCTGGCTCCCTCTCTAGCAGATTTGAGGCCACCTGAGCTACATGAGACCCTGACTCTAAAACAAACAAACAAAAAACCAGGACTTGGTGGTGCACACCTTTATTCCCAGTACTCAGGAGGCAGAGGCAGGTGGAAGCTCTGAACTGAGAGCAGCCTGGTCTCCGTAGTGAGTGCCAGGTCAGCTGGGGCTGCAGGGAGACCCTGTCTCAAAACAAAAAAAAACCCCCAAAAGAAATAGATTTTTCTTTTCTTTTTTTTTTTTTTTTTGATTTTTTTTTTTAAATTTTTATTTTCTTTTTCTATGAAAAATATTTTACAGAGCTGGAAGTGTGGCTTAGTGGTAACACATTCCACTCATGTACCAGACCTGAGCTCCAGCAAAACAAGGTTGAGGGGTGGAGAGAAAGAAATGTCTTAAAAAAGGCACCTTTTTCAGGAATTTAATCTTGGCCCTTTGTATACTGTTTATAAAAATACACGCTATTTGGACTGGAGAGATGGCTCAGTGGTTAAGAGTTTTGGCCGCTTTTCCAGAGGATCCAGGTTCAGTTCCCAGCAGGAGCGCTAACAACTGTCCCTAACTCCAGTTCCAGTGGATCTGATGTCCTCTTCTGGCTTCTTTGGGCATTGCATGCACATGGTGCACTTACATACATGCAGGCAAAACACTCTTACACATAAAGATAAATTTTAAAGAATTCTAAAAATAGCATATTGCTGTGATTATATTGATAAGGGATTATTAGTAGTAATTTGTAGTTCCACTCTTGGACCCTCCCTCTATATTACAGCTGTGATAAAACTGCTTATTGAACTTTTTGGTTATTCACCTTAGCCTTTAACGGCTGCGCTATCCCTCCAGCCCAAAACTGCTTATTGAAATGAGGATACGGGCTGAGGTTATAGCTCCGTTGGTAGTTTGCCCAGCATGCATGACGGCTTGGGTTTGATCCCAGCACTACATAAACTGGGTATACATGCGTGTATGCCTAGCTCTTGGGAGGTGGAAGCAGGAGCCAGAGAATCAGAAGTTGAAGGTCATCCTTGGTAACTTGGCAAGTTTGAGACCAGCCTATATGAGATCTTGTGTAAAGAAGAGTAAAGGCTGGCACTAGAGTTCAGTTGGTAGAGTTTACCTAGCCTGCATGAAGCCCTGGTTTTTCCCACTGCATAAAGCAAGGCACAGAGATGGACTATCCCAAAAGAAGCAGCTAAGCAAAGCATTGCCGTTGTCAGGAGTATAAAGTACCTTTTTGTATGTGTGTGGTCAGTGCAATTGCCGCAGGGCCTCATGTGCTCTAGCCTCAGTCCTTGGATTCCTCTGAAAAATGTGTACTTTTTCTTTTTTAAAATATTTATTTTTGGCCGGGTGCAGTGGCACGTGCCGTTAACCCCAGCACTTGGGAGGCAGAGGCAGGCGGATCTCTGAATTCGAGGCCAGCCTGGTCTACATAGTGATTTCCAGGGCAGCTAGGGCTACAGGGAGACCCTGTCTCAAAAAGTCAAAAAAAAAATTATTTTTATCTTATGTGTATGCGTGTATTACTTGCATGTATGTAAATGCACCCGAGTCATGCAATGCCTTGGAGGTCAGAAGAGGGCTTTGGATTCCCCTGGAACTGGAGTTAAGGAACGTTCACAGCTTCCATGTGTGTGCTGGGAATCGAACCCAGGTCCTCTGCAAGAGCAGTCAGTGCTCTTAACTGCTGAGCTATCTCTCTAGCCCTGTATGTGCACTTTTTCATCTGATTTTTTTTGGGGGGGGTTGTTCATTTGTTTTTTGAGACAGGGTCTCTCTGTAGCCCCAGCTGACCTGGAACTCACTATGTAGACCAGGCTGGATTCCATTTCACACAGATCTGCCTGCCTCTGCCTTCTGAGTGATGGGATTAAAGGGTGTGCACCATCATGGGTCAGCTCAGGTATGCTTTAAAAGCAGATTTGTGCTAGACATGGTGGCACATGCTTTTAATGCCAGCTAGCACTCAGGAGGGAGAGGCAGGCAGAGCTCTGTGAAATGGAATCCAGCCTGGTCTACATAGTGAGTTCCAGGTGAGCTGGGGCTACAGGGAGACCCTGTCTCAAAAATAAATAAATAAATAAATAAATAAATAAATAAATA